TTGCCTCTCTAAGATTTCCCCCCGCTAACACTACCGAACCTCCTTAATTACTCAGGAAGCACATGATCGTGTCTCTATACAAAATTCAAGTACGAAGCGTAGTCCGCGAAGTGGCTAAGTTGCTGTATTCATAGTGACTGCATACCGCGCAGATATTTAACGTGACGTATCATTCTGTGAAAAATTGCTTGATCAATCGAAAATCTAAAGAAAAATTTGAGCGATCCTTTTCCCATAAAACATGGCGGATGTTGATAAAACAATTAAGAATATTTCTACGGACACTCATAGTAATTTAGAAAATTGCAGCAAAGAAGAATATTTAAAAAAATTACATGCCGTGATTAACNCCACAGCCACAGCGTCGGCTGTGTATTTCATTGGTTTGGCCAATAATTCCGGTTTTTGCCGATGAATGACCTTAGATGTAAAAGTTCTATCTTCAGTCTAAATCTTGGAAGTGCATAATCATTGACAGATGACACTTCAACGTATATTTAAAAAAAGAACTGCGTGAAGATTGGTTGTGTTTTGTGTGGTCGGCGTCGTTTGAAAGTTGAATAACCGAAATGAGCATTTTCAGCAGATCATGCTTTTCTTATTTTAAAAAGAGACGAAAACGCGGCGCAAATCTCTGTAAAATACCATGAAAGATCGCGTGTGCTGCCGGAAGTGGTTTGTGAGATTTAATTCCAGAGATTTTTCTGTCCAAGACGCTCAGGCCGTCCAGTTAAGATCGACAGCGACAAAGTGAAGGTGTTAATCGATACCCCAATTCACGCTACACGACGCGGAAGATCGCAGACGTTCTCCGAATATCGAAATCGAGTATGGAAAACAATTTGCGTCAACTTGGCTACGTTAGTCGACTCGATGTTTGGATTTCGCACCGAACGAAGCTTATCTAATTGAACGCATTTCCATCAGCAATGCACTTAGAAAACGATCCATTTCTGAAAGGAATGGTGATAGGCGATGAAAAAGAGCAAAAGATTGCGGAGGGGGCGGGGGGGCCAGCTCGGCGAACCGCCAAAAAGCATTTTGAAGGCAGAGCTTCGCTCGAGCAAGGTCGTGCTCTCAATTTGGTAGGATCAGAAAGGTGTTGCGTTCTACGAATTTTTTCCAAAGAATAAAACGACCAATTCAGATGGAAAGGTCACATTCCAAGTCAAATTCTCGGACTTTACATCTTGCAAATTTTTGGCAAACGCTTCGCTTTTTAATTGCAATGAAAAATAATAGGCTTATTACGGATTCGATGCACAGGACAGTCAGGGGTAACGCAGCGTACTATCAGCGTGGGCGTTACACATCGTGCTGCGTGTGTAGTGTGGATTAGGCTTACTCATTACGCTTATCGACTGTAATCAGTGGTTAAGCGTAACGTGTTATCACCAGCACTATAACAATGATGTAACGCTGACTGAACCGATTAGGAAATTCGGAAAGATATCATTTTAGTTAAGTTGAGTATAAAATGAAAAGCCGCATGATAAGAGAAATAAACATAAATCGCAGCTTGTTAAACATAAAAATATTATTATTTTAGAAAGAATAAAAGAGTTTATGTTCCGTTTAAATAATTGTATTATCTCGACAAAGACAGATATTATTTAAACGATGGACACAGTTCACACAGAAAATTACCCTCGTTTGTAAATATCAATTCCACTGCAGATATTAGGTAAGCGATCCTTTCAAAAGATACGTCCATATTGAATAATCGTTTGTCCTTGAAAGGTCGTCTCCTAGTTGAATTCTGAGACGACCTTTCCTCTTGCAAAATTTCGTTTTCATTTACTTTATTAATAAAACGAGACTTTGCGAAGGAAAAGAGAAAAGAATTATGCATTCTTCCGAGATACATCCATTTATTTCTTTTTAATCATTATCTTTTTAATCGACGCATTAATGCACAAGCTGCGATTTATGTTTATTTCTCTTATCATGCGGCTTTTCATTTTATACTCAACTTAACTAAAATTATATCTTTCCGAATTTCCTAATCGGTTCAGTGAATTTGGAAAGTGAATTTGACCAACCTTGAATATATGCATTAGAAATGGACAAAAGAATCAGGTACTTGTTGTTTTGACTTCTGTTGCAGCTCCGTCAACATTTCCGGCCCAAAATTTGACGCTGCTTCAAATACCTTGACTAATAATTGTTTAGTAAATGTTCTCATTATCGAGAATTTCATAATATGACGTAATATAAATCTGAAATGAATAAAATAAATGTAAGAAGTTATTAAAATAAAAGTAACAATAAGAAATCATGCAGAATTTAGAGACTTTCACTTTTTGCGAACGTTGAATGGATATTTTCGTATCTTGTGCAACATATAAAATAGATACTCACGTATAAATTTTATAAGCGATCCATTCTCCGTAACTAAGCGATGCATACAAATTAGGCATATTTAGATTTAAAGCTTCTAATAATAGTAGTATCAATGTTTTAGCCGGAATATATGGCAAAGGAAAGTAATTTATAGATTCGATGGCACATCTTATTACGTGCAAAGAGTTTGCTTCAATATTTTTAAAATTTGGTATTAGCCAGCTATGAGTTAAATCCCATGTACGCTGTTTTATCTCCTCAAAGCTGCCATGGCAAAAGTTGTACCTAATGGATTATATTTAATGTAATATAATATTGTATATAATATATAATATGATATTGACATTCAGAAAAAAACAAGCGATCAGTGAGTAGTAATGATTATTGGTCTTTACTGTTAGATCCTTAAATTTAAACTCTTAAATTTAAACCAATTATGTTGACGAATTAAACAACCGTTGTGTTTTTGGACTAATTACTTCTCATACTTTCTTCGAAAAAAATAAAAAATGTACGCTCCTTGCCCAAATAACATTAGATGCTTAGATGCATAGTAAATATTTTACTCTTTTGCGGAACTTCTTGTTATTGTTGGTATTTGTATATAAAATATTGTTTTTACGTTCTTTTTTCTTTCTTTCACTTGGTACAACATTGCCATTTTTTGGTAATAATTGGCACTTGGCCTGACTTTTTGTTGTCATTTTTTTTTTTATAAGATATACAAGTTTAAACAAAGATATTTTATTTTAATATTTTAATTTGATTTGGGCGAGGCAATGTATACATTTGATGATTTTGTTCCCTTAAAGAAATAATTTGGTACGAATATCACACCATCTTTTTGCACATATTAAACATTTATATACGTCATATTAAACATCTAACCAATATATTGACTAAATATTTTTAATAATATTGTGATGAATATAATAATAAACTGGTAACGAATATAGTGAAATATGAAGTATAGTGAAGTACGAAAAAAAATACAATATCTGAGAACGAATATAATTAACCGTACAAAATACAAAAATCATGAAAGCTAGCCAATTCGAATTTTATGTTGAAATACGCTCGCTTGTAAGACATGTAAAACAAAATTGATCATAGTTTGTTATATAATTGAACTTCGGAATCGATGGAGTCTATTTAGAATAAACTCATTCCATCGGATCAGCCGTTATCACAGTACGATAATTCTGCTTTCTAAAGACGCGTTGATATATATGATACGCGTATATTTGATACGTGGCACTACCGTATCTCTTCGACATTCAAGGACATAAGGAGCATTGAAAAATTGTAAATACGTTCTTCAATCACAAGTGGAAGATTACGACGAACGGACGGCTGATTGCGCAATATTCGCGCGCTTATTACATTAAAACTTTTATACTCTCTAGAACTGAACTTGAACTTATATATAATATATAATATTGTATAAATATATCGATCATATAGTTTCTCGTATATATTTAAGTGATATGTGTGCTTGATATGTTACGATTAGAAGGATAATATATTTAATTTAATTCTCGACTCACAAAGGACTCAACATGCGTCGATTAAGTGAGACTACTACTTACTTGTCTTCTATGCCGAGGAAATATCCGTAGCATCTCCACATGTGGCAAAAAGCGTCTAGATCTTCATCAGTTATGCCGTGCAGTCCGATATTCTGCGGATACAAAATGGGCGCAATCATAAAAGTGCCCTGAATAACCGCCATATCCGCGTTATTGATGCTTTTAGATCTGAACGGAAAATATTTGATCAATTCGTGAAGACGTTCATCGAGCTTTTCGAACGGGCACGTCGCGGCGAAATCCTTCAAAAGCAATTCGCGCTCCGGACACCATGGATTCTCAATTTTTAGGTTGTCTATTGCCTCGTGATTCATTGACGCCAGCTTTTTGCTTATCGCGATATGTTTTCCATGTGTAATTTGTATCTCCCTGTAAGCCTTTGTACCTTTAACCCAAGGGTCTCCTTCGTACCAGGCGAGCATCCGTTTCATAGTACTTAAATACCTTGAAATTTTTATATTTCTATTTTTATATCTCATTATATAAAACTAAATTTACATTTCTATATCTTTCAAGGAGCTACATTCTTAAATTATGCCTTTCAAAGTCTATATGTTTTTTAATATCTGATCGACTATCTATTATGCTACATACATAATTATACTGCAAGAGATATATTAAGCTTTTTTAATATCGTTATTCTATAAATGAAATAGTTAGTCTAAATATACAAAAAGGCTCCGTCAATGAGAATAAAGAAATGAGACAAACGAAGCTTTGGACGATGTAAAATAATTAAAATAAATTAAATACTGTAAGGTTCACGTATTAAGGAATGATAACTTAATAAAGTACCTTCTGAATGCTAAATACGGCGTATGGACATTTTCTCCTAAGATGAACGCTTTTAGACCATCGTTGAAAGTAAGAGAGCGCAAAATGCTCAATAAATGGTTTAAGACTATCGAGAAATAATGATCGCTCACAAACTTTTGTGCTCTACGAAATTTATCAATATCCATCCATTCGGGTAATTTTTTCTGATTTCGATGAAACTCTATTGGGTAAAAGTTGGCCGATATCATGCTTTGCAAGGACTTGGGCACGTTTGGGACAATTTCCTTTATAACCTGACATTTCCAATCACACTGTTCTTCCGCGGTCCAAGTATCGAAATCGTCCGGGAATTTTATATCGTTAATCACGGCATGTAATTTTTTTAAATATTCTTCTTTGCTGCAATTTTCTAAATTACTATGAGTGTCCGTAGAAATATTCTTAATTGTTTTATCAACATCCGCCATGTTTTATGGGAAAAGGATCGCTCAAATTTTTCTTTAGATTTTCGATTGATCAAGCAATTTTTCACAGAATGATACGTCACGTTAAATATCTGCGCGGTATGCAGTCACTATGAATACAGCAACGAGTTGTTCACTGTAATTACAATTTCTCTAGAGCATCTTTATATACGCCATTTCTTCCTATCCCCCAGCTTCCCAGCCTCCAGTTTCCCTACTAATAACAAAAATAGCTTATTATGGCCTTTGAATTCTTATGAAATTGACTTATATAATTATACTTGAACGGATGATAACCTAATATAATCTATATAAACTGGGTCGTGATACACAGGATGTCTCAAACTAATCTCGGTTTCCGTGGTATGCAAGTAGAACGGATGTTGAATGATGATGAAACTGAGTAGAAAAGTCATATCCCATTTTGTAAAATTCGTAATAGTCAGTGAGGAATTAATTATTTTGTCTGAACTAATGAGCGGAAAAAGGTGGGCTAGACTCTGTATAATGAAAAATGGTTTCCTCCTGAAGATCTCTAAAATCTGCAAAATAGTGAAAGATTTGCATAACGGTACATACCTTTTTAGTTTCACCTGTTTTACTTGCACATCACATGGGAACCGAGATTAGTTCGGGAACCCTGTATTATTCGATGTTAATTTCTCCTTGCACCTTTGACATTACAAAATGATAATGCGTAATGATATTATCATTCGTTTGTAGAAATTGTCTTCTTTCATATATTTTTTCTACTCCCTAACAAGCAAGTCAATGTTAACACATTAGGTTATCATTCATTCAAGCACAATTATGCAATGCACATTATGCAAGTCAATTTCATAACAATACAAAGACCGTAATAGGTGCTGATTATTTTGTTATTGGTGGGAGAATTAGGAGCTGATGGAAAGAAACGGCGTATAGTTAAATAAAAGTGCTCTAGGAAAATTACAACTATAATAAACAACGAGTTGCTGTATTTACAGTGACTGCGTACCGCGCAGATATTTAACGAGACGTACCATTCTGTGAAAAATCGCTTGATCAATCGAAAAGCTAAAGAAAAATTTGAGCGATCGCTCTTCCGTAAAATCATGCCCTGCAAGGATATGAAAAACTCATGGTTATATTAATTGTTGTTCCCCCTAAGTTTATTTTAAATAAATATATATTAACATGGATATTATTTTGGTCTTTAAATACATACTATTTAAACTTCCAATTAAGAATATATACATACGTTATAATATATACATATTCTATGTTGAAAGTGCTACATAAAGATCAAAATAATAAAGATAAAAATGTCCAGTTTTAAGTATATGTCCGCGGGCATTGGTACTTTTATCTTAGATGGTATTTAACTTTTATCACAATGAATGACAAGAAATGAAAAAGGTGTACAATGAAGTTTATAAATTCTAATCACATTAATATATAATAATATATATAAATATAATAACTTTACGCATATTGTTACTACCTTTTTGTTAGAAGGATAAGATATAGTTCGCGTCGAAAAGAACTGATTTTTTGTCAGATTTCATTTACGTCGGTTGTTGTGATCCTACCAATGTCAAGCCACAAGGTCGCAAGTCAGGTTGGTATCGGGCGAGAGTTTGCAAATCGTACTGAATAATAAATGTTTCATAATTTCGAGTCTAGAATCAGCTGAACAACACTTTGACGAATGTAACCGTTAAGTTTCCAAAAATAAATATTGATTATTAACAATAATTGTACAAAATACAAATAGGGAGCGTGATACAATAATTGTACAAAATATAAATAGGGAGCATAATACCGCTTTCCCTTTTATTAATTTTTACGTTTACTTCATACGCGAACGAAATTTGTCCCATCGATATTTCTTACAAGTTATGTTAACCCTTTGCACTCGGAGCCATCTCGAGAGCCATCTACCAGCAACTCGGCGGCATCTGGTCTATGTGGAACTCGTCTTCACTGCTGCTTATATCATAAGCCGTACTCGTATTTTGTCGTTTCGCCATTGTTCCGGAAACTCAGTAAATGGGCCGAAAATTTCTAATTGTAAATTAGAAAAGCACAGAACGAAAATTCTCAAGAAAATATTTTTCTTTACTTCGAATCCGTGCAGGTTTCAATCTGTAGCGCTTAATACTTCAATACGAACTGAGTTCGGCTTTGGAAATCTCTTTCTATAATTTTAGGCTTGCTTGTTTATGTCCTCAAGTTTCACCATATCGTGCGAGACATGTCCCCACACCGATCCCTTTTATACAAACCCTCCTTATCGCTCTTTTGAAGTGGAGCGGAGAAGCGCTCCGGCCGCTGTGAATGCATTACAAACGTTTCGCTTCGACGTAATGTCAGCTGACATTTTTTCCATATATTTCAGTATATATGCCATATTTTGATTTGCTTTCTTGTGCCATTTCAATAGATAACTTCAAAGAAACATGCAGTTTTCCAAAAATGGCCGCGGCATAAGCTCATCCTCTGTAATCACTAATAAATTAGTTAACCCTGAGAGGGGACATCCGAGTGCAAAGGGTTAACTATTCTTTCGCACATCTTTTATTTTCATGTTATTTTCATATTTTTAGCGGCAAACGTAAATTCAAAGAAATAATATATGAGTGTCTATCAATTAGCATATCTAGTTTATCAACAACAATATACATGAATGAGTTATTTTTAATTTAAAGTTCGAAGTGAACTTCTTGAAAAATTGACATTTTATTTTTCGCTGTGTAAGGTTAAAAATATCGCGCAAATAACTCGTAACAGTAACGCACATATGACGCAAGTGTTCACGATGTAGTCTCGCAAATAACAATTATCGGTTTCAACGGCGATCCGTGACTCGCGAGAAACAGAATTCGGGGGGAGAGGGAGGGGGCCGTAATTTCCTGTTTATAACTTTCCACGCCGTCACGTGGAAGATCTTCGGAGATTTTTTCATGTAAATGCGCGCGCATGCGTGCGCGACATAAGCGTAATTCTGATATTATGCCTTCCTACAAAAATAGAATCTCCCCGCGGAATTATAAATCGTCCGGAATGTGTGCAACGCATCTTACGAAACGGAGGATAGAATTCTGCGCGTCGCGCGGAATCATGGGTCGTTCTGAAGCTCGATCGTGCGAGCTTTAACCCTTTGCACTCGAGGGCTCCGCTGTGGAGACAATGCAAATAACTTACAGTTCATAACATAAGGGCTAAGACAAATCGTAAAAACCATTGTGTATAGGATATTCCGCTCTTGCTATTTGCCATTTGAGTTTGAAGAGTTTGAAGACAAATTTTAAATGGCTCCGCTCCGGAGCCCTCGAGTGCAAAGGGTTAATATGTAACGACGTTAGAAATCCGCCAATTCTCCGGGCTGTCGGATATACGTCTAACGCAGCGGTAAGCTGCTGATTATCCGCGAGCGATAAGATATTACGGCGCCATATGTTGACGCCTTACCGGCAACGCGGGAGTTGTATCGCACGGCGTGTTACGCGGCCGCGTAACGTTATCGCGGAGGCGGTTCTAAGTGTAATCTGCGGGGATAACAAGAAGGTTAGCGAGGCAAGACTGGCGTCAATATCGTTACCGGCGGGAGACAGAGGCATAGAGAGAGAGAGAGAGGTAGAGAGAAGGCCGGGGTCCGCAATAAAGGCGGAATAATAATGTCTCTCGCTCTTCTCTCTCTCTCTCTCTCTCTCTGTCTCTCCCTCGTCGCGGGAAACCTGTATCCGACGTCAAAATGCAGGAACCATTCCGGATTATGTGCTCCCCCGGCATTGTCTTGTCTATTGACTGCTTAGAACTATTCCGGAGACGGCTTCCCGGATACGTCATTTTCGAGTTCGCCGGCTGGAATAAGGAGCACGTCGTCTGAGAGCGCCTCCCGCGTATAATAAGAATTACGGTAACCGGTAATCTACGGTGGTGCGCGCGTATACCGAAGCGACGGGGCCGAGACGTGATCTCTGGCGGTAAACCGTGGGAACCGCGGAGAGGGAGCCTTGGGTTGAAGCATCTCGATGCTGCTTTGATGTTGTTAAATATAATTTACGCTCACTTACATATATGTAAAAGTCCAAACTTGGATGGATTTTAACCCTTTAGTGCGCAACTTTGCATACAGGACGACTGCAAGCCGTGCCATCCGTCATTTTACGTCACTTCATGCGCTTATTGTATTTCTTAAATATCCTGGTTGGTTCCTCATTTCCTTCAAAAAATAACTAAATCAATAAATATCTGTACCCGCAATGTCCCCCATACGATAATAAATCGTAGAACAATCGATATTATGCTACATTTTGTTAATAATAGCGACTTTTAATCGGGGTTCAAGATGAAACCAGGTTTGCCCAGAAAAAAAGAAAAGAAAATAAGACGACTCTATTAGCGGGTTGAGGAAAATCCGTACATAAAATATGACAGCTTCTATTGTATTGTAAAATTCAAGGTTTTACATGAGACGAATATTTCGTTTGGGGTCGCACATCCGTTATTTCGACACGAGGAAGACCGCTCGCGTCTCTCCCGCCCGAAACGTCATCACTCACGTGACGAAGCTCGGCTAATCGCGTCGCGTCCTCGCCTTAAGATAATTATTCCTTCGCTTCCACGCATGCACGTACTTTGTTCAACTCGCTCGCGCGTCGTAAACACATCTCGGCGATAGGAAGGAAGAACGGACGAAAAGAAGGAAAGAAGCACAAGACGGGGACGAAGGAAGCAGTGAGAGAGAGAGAGAGAGAGAGAAGAGCGATGAGCCGCGTATTCTTCGCGGCGAGGAATTCCGTGCCGCGCGCGGTGACTTCGCGAACGATATCGAGTTTCGCCTCGTCGCCGGGCATTGTCGGCGAAAATCCTATTCAACGGCGACGGGCGCGATTCTACCGTCGTCACAAAAGCCGCCGTGCCGCGCCGTCGCCCCGCAAAATATGTGATTCGTGAAACCCGGCTTAAGACCGCAACGCCGCGCGTCGATGCGCCGTGGTGTCGCGTAAACTTGCATTCTCACCATCCATCGCACTTCTCCGACCGCCACTCTACGGATTTAATACCCCCTACCCCCTTATCCTTGTAAACTACTCCCCCTCCTCCCCCTCCTTACCCCGCTTCGGTCCTCGGTACGATTTAACCGTGCGAACATTACGAGCACGTCGA